AGTGTCATCGATTCTTTTCATTATTAAAAAGGAAGAATGACTTCTCATGGATATCGGAATGTCAGCAAGCGTTGAAAGATTTGAAGAAATACTTGTCCAGCCTACCTTTAATGTCCAAACCAAAGGATGGAGAGACATTTTTAGTGGTTTCAGAAGTAGCGATAATTGAAATTCTGGTCCGAAAAAATGAAGATACGCAATTTCCTATTTATTATGTTAGTAAAATATTGTCAGGTGCGAAAACTCGATATCCGCATCTAGAAAAGTTGGCTCCAGTTCTCGTAGTTGCCTCTCGAAAGATTAGACCTTACTACTTTCAATGCCACCCTATAGCCGTTGTAATAAATTTTTCCCTGAGGAATGTCCTTCATAAACCTGAGTTGTCGGGTCGGTTGTCTAAATAGGTAGTTGAATTTAGTAAATTCGATATTGAATATAAATCGCAGATCGCAATCAAGTCACAAGTTTTGGCCGACTTCGTGGCTAACTTTAGTTAGGAAATGATGCCTTTAGCAACCAAAAAAGCAGTTTTGGTATTGGGGACTGGATTCAGATTCTGGACCTTCTTTGCGAATGGCGCATCAACGTGAAAGGGTCCGATCTTGAGATAGTATTAATTACTCATTCGGTATAAATTCTAAGGTAGGCCATACGAACTGTTCCTTTAACTAACAATGAAGCCGAGTATGAGGCTATGGTTGCAGGACTCGAATTAGCCCTTGGACTAGACTCCGAGGTGATTAAAGTAAAGTGTGATTCCCAACTTGTGGTTAATCACATATATGAGATTGTTTATGCTAAAGAAGAGCGTATGGAGCAGTACTTAAATAGAGTCCAAGTTTTACTTTCCCGGTTCAGGGAGTAGTCGGTGATCTATATCTCAAGAGAGGAGAACGTAGAGGCTGATGCTGATGCATTAGCTAACTTGGGTTCTTCAATGGAGATAAAAAGGGATGATTCTAGTGCAGTTTTACAATTGTTGCATTCAGTCCTAAATGTGGATGGTTATTGCGAAATTAATTCAACAAATATAGTTTGGGATTGGAGAAATGAATTTATAGAGTATCTAAGACATGGAAAATTACTTGATGATTCCAAAGCCTCCCGGCACTCAGAACAAAAGTTGTGTGTTATTATCTTATTGATGGACAACTATACCGGAGATCTTTTCAGGGTCCGTTGGCTCGATGCTTAGGATCAGCGGAAGCTGATTATGTAATGGGGAAAGTTCAAGAGGGAGTTTGTGGCAATCATTCCGGAGTAGATTTTTTGGTGTTCAAGTTAATGAGAGCCGGTTACTATTAGCCCCGAATGGAGCAATATTCAAAGATGTTTGTGCTAAAATTTGATAAATATCAACGTTATGCTCAATTAGTACACTTGTACAGCAGTCGGCTGCCATAAGGTTATTTCATAATACTGTCGGCGAACTGCCTGCTCCCATAAGAATAATGAAACTTTCAACGGTTCACTTGCCCAACTCGTGAAGACAAGTGCGAGTTTAAGTGGTCACGAAACTACCGATCAAGCAAGTACAACACAAGGATACATATATAAGAGGAATCATAACTCTACCGATAATAAAGTTTCCTGCCGAGTTCTTAAAATAGCACGACTCGGTAAGCTACACAAGTCCAGTCTCAAGTTAAATCACAAATTGGAGCATTTAAACAGGTAAGAACAACTCAAATAATGCAGTTAAAGCATGATATAACTCTAAGTCCACGCGAACATATCAAGAATCTAGCATACACACGAACGCTCGTCACCTCGTACGTATATAGGTCCCATAATACATAGCACATAGAAAATAGAATACCTACGAGGATAAGTTCCCTCTTACAAGATTAGGCAAGAGACTTACTGTGCATCAAAATTCGATAATCGGCTCCAATACCTCTCTAACACCTCAAACCAATGCCAAACGATCCGAAACTTGCCAAAGAATGTGCAAACTAATACATACTCAAAACCCCATAATTTAAAAAATAGAAATAATTCTCAACCCCAACGAAAAGTCAAGAAAATCAACCTCGGGCCCACGCGCTCGGTTTTGAAAAATTCTCGAAAACAAATGTTACTCGTAGAATCACAAACTCAAATATATAAATTGTTCCCAATTTCATATTTAATTTCGTGGTCAAATCCCCTTTTTACCAACTCTAGATTTTCCAATAAAATTTCACAATTTTTACTAATTTTCACGTTAAAATCTATATATAATCCATGTATTTAGCTCACAACAAGTTGGAATCACTTACCTTGTATTAGTTGATGAAAATAGCTCCTCCAAATCGCCCAAAAATCGCCTTAGCAAGAGAGAAATGAGCAAATTCCCGATTTACAAACTTATATTCTGCCCAAACTTTACCGTTCGTGATCACGGTCCAAAGCATCACGATCGCGAAGCAAAAAGTCTATTGGTGCCCAAAACATTCTACGCGGTCGCATTAGACAATCCGCAATCGCGAAATACAATTAGTTGTGCCTCCACAAACGTGAGACCTTTCCGCGTTCGCGAAGACCAACTTTCCCCAGTCAAGTTTAGACTCTACGCGAACACAGACTCAGATATGCGAACACGAAGTTTCAGTCCAGGCCACTACGTGAACGCATACTCCTTGGCGCGAATGCGATGGACCAACTTCTTGACCACCAAGCACCCTACGCGAACGTAGTGCACCATACGCGATCGCGAATCACAAATGCTCTCCAACTCTAAATCACTCTTCGCAGTCGCATTACACCTTTTACGATCGCTATGCATACCATTGATAGCAGAAAAGCAACAACTACAAATCAAAGGAAAATAGTCTGAAACCACCCCAAAATACAGTTGAGGCCCCCTGGACCCCGTCCAATCATACAAACTAGTCTCAATACCATATCCAATCTTATCTAACGCCTCAAAATGCCACGAATAACATCAAAACTAAGAATAGACGATCAAAATCCCTCTCTTAACTTTCAAACTTCGCCGAACGCGTTGGAATAACACTTAGACATTCCAGATTACGTCCAAACTTCGCACACAAGTTTCAATCAACCAAATAAACCTATCAAAGGTCTCAAAACTACAATGGGAGTCCGATAACACCAAAGTCCAATCCAAGTCAAATTTAGCAAATTAAAAATTCTTCAAAGTACAAACTTCCGACAATAAGTGTCGAATCGCTCCTGGGCCATCCAAAACTTAACCCGAACATACGTTCAAGTCCAAAATCACCTTACGAACCTATAGGATTCCGAGGTTGTTTACTCGAAAGTCCTCCTTGGTCAACTCTTCCAATTTGAGAATTACTCTTCCAAATCAATCCTGAACCTTTCGAATATTGCAACCAACCATACACACATACTATAATGCATCATATGAAGCTACTCAAAGTCTTAAACTGCCGAATAGATTGCTAAAGCTCAAAATGATCGATCAGATCATTACAATAATTAAATATAATTTATGTATACTGACTAAAAAAAATAAATCGTGAATCTGTGTGACTAATTGTGCAAGATCCCTAATTAAACAACCAAACAAGCTGAATTCCATGCCACATAAGCGTTTGGGGTCCCATTGAGAGTCTAATCTTTTTATACAAGTACTTCAACAGTTCAACTTAACATATCAAATACCTATTCTTTCACTGGAAATCATTTAGACAACAAATAAAATAGCATTTCTCGTTACTCGGCGGAGTTAATATCTTAAACTTCCCCTAAACTATTAACTTTTGATCAGTTACATATTAAAATTATAGTATGTTCTCAAAATTCTCTTGAACTATAACGCCATTCATATTAAAACCCTATCGTCGCATTCTTAGAAGTGCGTCTAGTACACGTTTCTAATTAACTAAAAAAATATGTCATGTGGTACTACACATGGCTATTTAACTTAGCATAAAACCTTCCTAAAGTATCATTTTTTGTCAATTATCTACTTAAACTACCCGGTGTCCCCAAAAATCCCTGAACTATATGTTTCTATATATTAAAATACCTGCTGAATTCTTAGCGGTACATATGTATAACTATATTAACTTACAATTTGTACTAAATTTTTTTATATAGTTTACTCATAATGTATTACTCTCGGAATACTGATTAATTCTAGAAATTTTGGCCAAAATAGGATCTAATAAATGTATTAATTTTTGCTAGACTCCAATTGAATAAGTCCTTATTTACATTCACTTTGTAGTACCAAAAATAAATAAATAAATTAAGGCATATAGTGTTGCATTTCCGGAAAAATTATCTTATATTACACAAATAAGATTACACAAAATAACTTTTTACAAATAAGAAACCAGTTGGCCAACAACTATATTCTCTCATTCAAGATTACACAAATAAGGTTCAAGAGATTCGACTTCATTCTCTATAAGTTGTTGGGTTTAATAAGAAGATTTATATGAGTGTTCTTTCGACATTATGGGCAAGACATGGAAGAAGATTAAAGCAAGAAAGAGAATAAATCATTTCAGATGAAACAAGAGAGGGAGAAAACATTCAGAGGAAACTCATATGGAGAACTGTGGAAAGGTGAAAAAATGGAGAAGAAAAGTGAAAAAATGAGGAAGAATGATAAAAAATGAGGAAGAAAGGTGAATATAAAGGAAATAAGGAGAAATAAAAAAGAATTAAGAGGGTTAGGCTAATTAGCCGGTACACTCTGTCAGGTAGGCCATTTTGATGGCGTTTTTCAGCTGTCACTCGCTTTCAAGCGAGTTATTACACATGTTATGTTAGATAAGAAATGCAGGAGGTTTCAATATGAAGAGCGGTTTAGTTTAGCGAAATTTCGGGAACACACGATAGTTTAAGTATGTAACTAACAGAAAAAGTTGATAGGTTAGGAGAATTTTAGAGTATTAATATTACTCTATGTTATAATTATTAAGATTGACGTGTTCTACGAATGCAGGAACAAAGAATGCTCTAAGCGTTCACACAATAGAAAAAGATACCTGATGCAAAAGACAAACAAGGGAAAAGAAGAATAAAAAATCCAATAATTTATTATAACAAATTACAAAACAGCATTATTGTGAAAAGCTCTCAAAAGAATATAATCTAAAATCCTCCACCAGATTTATTGAGTAAAAAGTAAAATAAAAGTGTACATGGTGGACTATAATCAAGAATGGACCAATTTAAAACCTAAACCGGACCTTACACTTATTATCCCTAATCCGAATAACATTATCCTGAGACAAGCTATCCACGTTTAGTCTACACTTCAACAAAAACTTCCATTTCGTAAGCTTCAATTTTCCCAGCTTTATCCTCACTGGAACCTTAACTCGAAGATTCAATGGAATAGTTCCACTCTGTTGATCCACCTGCAATGACTGCAACAAATTGGTAGCATTCTCTGTTTGCCCTGTCATTTTCACGTTAAGTACAGTGGTATTTCTATGGCCTTGATAAAACTTTGGCAATGACCCTTCACATAAATTCGTGCCTTTGTACCATACACTCAAATGGCTTCCATTTTCATAGTAAATTCCAATCTTTTTGTTGGGATTTCTTGCAGTGATGTTCACGTTAAATGTTGCGGACAAGCTCATGTCATTGTTGATGTTGAATTGTGTAATTCTCATGCTGTCGACAGAGTACTTTGGTATTTTTGGTTGGAAGACAAAGTAAATAATGGCAGCTAAAATGCCTAAGAGTATGATCAGTAGGAAAAATAGGCAACAGGACCAACACAAGCATTTTTTGCAGCAGCTTCTTTTCTTTGGTTGTTTTGATGGTGAATATGGGGTTAATGACCTTCTCAAAGGTGGTTGCTGCCGCTCAGGATCGCCGTTCTCTGACCGCGAAGAGCCACGTGGCACCAACGGAGCCGTGGGTTTGGGTAGCGCTTCCTGCTGCGGCTCTGGTGCCGGAGCGGGATGAATTTTTTGGTGATCGGCCATGGAAAACAAAATGTTGTTACAAGATTAAGAACAAACGAGAGCAAAATGTTATACAAAAGGTATTTTCTTGGACCAAGATTTTTATGTATATATATATAGGGACGTTGAAAAAGTGACAATAAAAATATACAAACTATAGTGGGCATGTAAATGGATATTTTCAAGCTTCCTTATTTTGACTTTGTGTGTAAGAGGTTGAATCTGAACAAACGTGTTCACGTGCCTGAATGGGTCAATGTTACTTTTGCGTATATTTCATATAGTAAAAGCTTAGTTATGTTGAGGTGTGCCTAATTTCTTTGCGCGTTAATACTTTTCCATAAAGTCCGGCTTCAGTGTGTTCATTATTTATTCGCTCGTTTCGGTAAGTATGCAGTTTTCAAGAGGGATCGGACGGTGAGAGGTAAGATAGATATCCTTATTCATAAGTCTCGATTTTGAATAGGAAATGTTTCCCCGCGACGTGAATCCAAGTAATAGCGACTCCAATACTAATACCAGACAATGAGTGGGGAGAAATAAAAAAAATACTCCACAAAGAAATTTTTAAATATCAGACAAATGTGAAAATAGGTCAGTTGGCCATCCAGGTTTCATGTTAAGTATGTTACACATGTACACGCCACCGCAAGAAAAAGCAAACTCTTCTTTATCCCATTTCCACCATTGCTTCTGCAATAAAATATGGTTTAAGTCTTAGGAAGCAAGAAAATTAAAATAACAAAATTCAGAGAAGTTAAGCTTAGAAACGGACTTTTTGGAAGCTTCCTTAATACAACTGAAACTTTAAGGCAATATTCCAAACTTTCAAAGCATATGTCATCGGTATGCGTTGACGATTGCTTTATTTCTTTTGGTGCTTTTGAATACCAAATCCTCTTGACTTTAGGTGCCTTTAGTAGGCAGAACATTGTTATGGGAATTGCTCAAGTCGCGGAGGTAGAAGCCCGATACGAGATTTTGATCAAACACACTATATTTATGTTACGAAATTAATTAAAATAAGTATATGTTTTAAATTTAGAAATCAATTATTAGCACTTTTAAGTCATGGTTCTAAAATTTAAAACCTATAATTTATCTCCATGTCTGTACTTGCACTAGGTGTTTGTGATCTACCACTACCAAAATAAGCTCTTTTTCACCAATTTGAATGATGTAATTGGTGAACACAGATCTTGTTATTATATAGTCAGTGAATAAAACTTAGCAAATAAGATGCCACGCAACATGAGAATTTCCCAAGTTCCTCATTGTACTCAGCCTCACGCTTTTGCATTGGTTAGGCCACTTAAGGGGGTGAAGAAAATTTCCGATCTTCGAGCTCGAACTCAAGATTTAGAGTTAATGGTGGAGAAATTGAAATTCCAATCATCCCATCACTTATTTCAAATTAGATGTGAATATATATCCCTAGCTAAATATAGCTAGAGTTTTTTTGTATAAACATATATGAGCTATTTATCAAGCTAAGTTCATAAATATATAAATATATTGGCTTGGAACGTGTTCCTGTTCCTGGATAAAGGCATAGCTTAGAAAAACTATAACTAGGCATAATTCCTATCTTACATAAACAATACAATTGCCCCTATAAATTAGAATATGATAAAATCAATAACTGAAATTATTCAAGTCTTACCGAATCATAAAATATATTTAATGTATCTTGCACAATCATTTCAAATAGTTGCATTCGTCCTTAAAATTAACAAGATACATATATGTAAGTGAGATAACACAGTCGTAAACTTACTCCATGTCTGATGTCTCCCTCCTCTACTTCAACATCTTCATTCTGCCTCATCCACTTTCTCCAAATATTCTTTGTTTGTATTCTGAAAAAGAAAAGGTAACTAGTTATTATATGAGATAATATAATTCATCAAAACACAAGTTATATCAAATGACACAATTCATCAAACCAAAAAATAACATCAAACTGCATAATTCATTATCGCCCTTCCCCAAACTAGCATCCAACTCTATATATATCAATCTCGAACGATTTAGCACAACCACCCCTAGCTCGATCATTTCCACATACAAAAGATATCTCTTCAAACATATCAATCTGAATTTTTCATAAGAAGGACAATGGAATGTGATCGGTTTCAAGTTCAATTAGACTGAAATATACAATCAATCAAGCCGCTGCAAATAGTAAATCATAGTGGGTTATATTCAGCCTTAGAAACTGTATATTTCAATTAGAAACTATTTAGATGCATTGACCACTGAGTACATATGGATATATTTAGGCACAGAACAGTGATTGCAATTTTGTGAAATCCGTCCAACTCCAACACAGTAATAGAATAACTCTTTGCATCACTTGTTTCATTAGAATTGCATTATGAGGAGTGACGACTCTATGCAACTGTACTTAATAATTCACCTTATTATTGCCATTGACTCAGTCAAGAGCAATAACAATGAAAATAAAGACAGCAAGACGAAGAAATTACACAGATAGGTAAATGCTCGCAAACCTGTTGAATAACCTCTGATGCAAGAGCACCTGGTTCTATAATCCCTGACACAGGAAAACCAAGAACAGAAGTGATCCATGAGAACTTGCTCTTCTCTTTGTATGGGTCAAAATCTACCTCAGTGGGATTTAGCGTGAAGCAGTATCGTGGAAAGCGATATGGACAAGGTCGATTAATAGATAACGGGGCTTTTAGCCGAGTAGTCAATAACAGCCGAGGTCGAGTATCAAGGACAGTGCTAACGGCTAGTTTTTGTAATAGAATATTCAGGAGAATATTCTATTGAATATTCTTGGTGACTGTACTTTTAGGGTTGACTGGGTAATGTCCTAGATAAATAGAAAGAGAGATAGGGGAAGATGGGAGATATTCTCTGATAAGAACATTCTTTGAAAAACAGACTTTCTCTCTAGATAAAAGACAATCACTATCTTTCTAAAGAGATTCGATTGTCTACTATTTCATACTTTTTCCGTTAGATCCAAGAAGGGTCGCAACATTATAGTATTTGTCTATCATTCATCATTGTGAGAGAGAAGAATCATCCACCTCATTCAATATTGAGTGAATCATTCTCCTTATACACACAGATCTATAACTGGCACAATCCATAAAAAAAAAAAAAAGCTCTTACTTCCTTGTACACACAAATCTGACATGGCAGGTAATGGAGAAGAAAGAATGAAGGCAGTGACCGATCTCACTACCAACCTCTTAAACACCATCAATGATGTCTCCGAAACAGAAGGCGAAGACATAACACCTAACACCTCTCCCTGGCGAAGTGGGTCGCCCCTCCCTCACGGCAGTATCACAACATCCTGTGGTAAAAGAGCTTTCACGTCCACAGCGAAAGCGGCGCCACCAGCGGTGTAGAAGCTACTCGAGGCTTGGTTGACAAATATGCTGACCGGCATCCTCGACAAGCGCACTTAGGAGGTAGTCAGAGAAAATGCAAAGACTTGCATTGCACCAGCAACGGCCATGCAGCATGACCCTCCCCCTCCAGTAACAGGTATCACTAACAATATTAATAATGCACGTAACGACACCCTCACGGCCATTTCGAGGAAAATGGAAGAAATGGAAAATGAAAACAAAATGCTTCGGGATCAAATGAGATAACACCAAGAAAGAGTCGACAAAATACCGGGTGCCCCAAAACTCTTGCCAAAAAGAGACGTTGGTCGGTTCGTTAAGCAACCCTACAGTGATGAAGCCGCCCCACATGCCATACCCAAGACCTTCAAGATCCCGCCTAATCTGAAAATTTATGACAGTACGACCGACCCCGAAGATCATGTAACTCACTATGTCACTTCGGTAAAGGGCAATGATCTCGCCAAAGAACAAGTCTCCGGAGGAGCATTAACTTGGTATTCACAGCTGCCCGCATGCTCCATTGAAACATTCAAAGAAATGGGCGACAAGTTCGTAACGGCCCATGCTGGGGCTAAGAAGGTGGAGGCAAGAGTGAACAATATATTTGCCATCAAACAATCACTCGGAGAGGGATTGGGGGACTTCCTCGTTCGATTCAATAGAGTAAGGATGACCTTACCGAATGTATCGGAAGGAATGGTTGTAGCAGCTTTCCAGAATGGACTTAACATGAATGGCTCAAGGGCGACCAAAAAACTATTTAGTCGGCTTATGAAATATCCTCCAACAACTTGGGATGAAATACACAACGCCTACTGTGTCGAGGTCCGTGCCGACGAAGATGACCTGAATGGGCCAAATTGACCTCGATACAAGCTGAAACCAGGAAGGATCGGAGAAATGATGCCAGGAGAGATCTCGCAGCTCCACGATCCAACCGAGAAAGGCATCAACCATATGTTAGAAGCGCCATCATGCCCCCCCCCCCCCGGCCACGAAGAGGGCCCATCTAGGCCAAGGACAGGGACTCACCAGAACGAGAGAGGTATGCCCCATTTACTATCTGCTCACAATTTTTGTGTGTCACCCTCAGAAATAGTCTACGCATTAAAGAAACTCGGACTAAAAGTAAAGTGTCCACAAAAGATGAGGTCAGACCCAAGCACTAGAAAATCAAACGCCCTCTGCGAGGTCAGAAAACTGAGGACTGCATCGCCCTAAGGCAGGAGGTCGTGAACATGCTTCATCAAGGACACCTCAAAGAATTGTTGAGCGACCGAGGGAGGACTAACTTTGCCCGAGGACGTGAACAACACCAGGGACTGCCGAAACTACCCTCACCGATTCGGACCATTCAAATGATCATCAGGGGCGGCGATGATGTTTCGATCAACATCGTAAAGTTCGCCACAACCCACAAGCCCAAACGGTCAATCACTCATGAACGGTACGAAGAACTCGAAGAAAGTATCATCTTCGATTAGACAGATACCCACGGTTTGGTTTTCCCTCACTATGATGCCCTTGTTATTACATTACTAATATTAGATACAGATGTAAGACGCATTATGGTGGATGATAGGAGCTGCGCGTGCATTGTCCATCCTCGAGTACTTGCACAAATGAAACTCGAAGATAAGATAGTGACGCGCTGCATCACGCTAACAGGTTTTAATAATGTAGTTGAACGAATATCCGGGGAAATCACACTCCCTGTCTTGGCCGACGGCGTCACTCTGGAAACCACATTCCACATCATGGACCACGATACATCGTACAAC